TTGCCATTTTCTAGGCTTCCAACACATCAACTAGGAATATATTTAAATGAAAGTTATAATTGGTCAGAGCAGCTACTGCTAATTGAGTTGCTCTGTGAATTATTTTCCTGGCTTTAGTGCAATCCAAGATAATAACTTAATATGAAAATGATATATTAATCTAGCAATAAAGCCCCTTCACTCTGGCTTCTTTAAAAGTGATCCTAGCACAGATACTAGTGGACATCAGAGAACCTGTAATTGAAGTGATTGTACTGAGGATTAAGTGACTAAAGTTCAGCATCTTACTTGCTGCAACAGTGCCCTCACACACTGTTTAACAGGCAATGCAACTAGCGACATTATTGCCGTATGATGAGCAGTGCAGCTATAACATCCAGGAGCTGGTCTTGGGCCTGAGGGCTGGCCATGGTACACATATCTTTATGACTTTGAGAAATCTGCTCTTGCTTGCCACTCTCTGTTAGAGGTCTCTTAGTGAAAGGTGGTACAGTAGAAAGGCATCATGGCACACTCACAAACCAGCATGTAAAACAACTTGTCTCACCACTAAGGACAATGACAGAGGTTTGGATACACGTCTTCTGCAAAGGATGTGTAAGCCGCACTGCCGCGCCAAGGCACCTCATTTGCAGAAGACGTGTATCCAAACCTCTGTCATTGTCCTTAGTGGTGAGACAAGTTGTTTTACATGCTGGTTTGTGAGTGTGCCAGGATGCCTTTCTACTGTACCACTGTTCAAAGCCCATTTCGTGTGCACCTTACTGTATAACTGGTAACAAATTGTTGAGTGCGTTTGTCGTTTGTTTTGCTCTTAGTGAAAGGGTCCCTTAGCACTTTCCAAGGTGCAGCAAATGTTCTTTCACTTCGCCACAACTTCAGCTTTTCTGGAACTGATGCACAGCGGGCATCGGGTATTGTTTTTTAGTCCGTCATCCATCGTGAATGAGGTGGATCTGCATTGCTGCATGAGGTGATTGACCTTTTGATTACATCGATGGACACTTTTTATTTTATTTTTTAATAAAAGAATCTTCAAAAACTGTTGTCGTGTGTTTTTTTTTTCAAATAAAGGACGACGATGCCGATCTGAATGGAGAAAAAGTTGTCAGCTTCTGACATGAAGTTGACAGCTTTTTTCCTCCATAATTCAGCCTCACCTGCCTCCCCTGACCGCACGTCCCTGGCGCACACTCACCCCCCCCCTTTTCTGCTCTGCCAGGCTGCTACTCAGATCAGGGGTCTGGTAAGGGATTTCTATCTGACTTACAGGGTCTGGAATTAATTGGGGGTGGGGACCCCAAACTTTTTTTTATTGTTTTTTTTTTGACTGTCAAAAGATAAAGAAAAATGTCACCTTTTTTTTCTAATGTCACGTTGCTGCAACAGAAATTAATTTGCAATTATCTAACGCACCTAAAATTAACAAAAAGTTAGGATTCGTCCAAATCCCGAAACGAATTGGTCTTTCGGGCCTGAATCCCGAAAAACAAAATAACGAAAACCCAAAGCGAAACAATTTTTCTTGCCAGCGCACATGTCTAGTCACTACTCTAACTAAGTCTGCCACATGAATTACAACTCAGCATCTGAACTTCCCACAATGTAACATTATCATTGCTTGCTGGAAGCAATGCATTATGGGCTTTGTAGTCTTGAGAAATCGAGATTGCATCACAACAAGAAGCAGGGAAAGAGATACAAAGCACACTGGAAAGCCAGGAAGTTGTTGAAAGTGAAAGCCAGCACTCACTACAAGTGTAAGACTATAACCGGCTGCTCATGTGATACTGCACATGCGCGTGAACCTATCTTCTGCATTTTCGGGAAACGAGCAATAATGTGCAGGCGCACGCAACATAAGGTACGCGCAAACACCCGCTGACGCTGGCACACATGATATGACGAAACCTTCTTTGATAGATGGGTCTATTTAAACCTGCTTGCCCTGTTGATTATTGCTGAACGGTCTTTCAGCTGGTGTGTTGCTTCCTGTTACTCTGCCTATTTTTTTTACCTGTTGCCTTGACCCGGACTGCCCCTGACTAGGCCTGATTGCTGCCTGCTCTTGACCTCTGCTTGATCCTGGATTACGCTTTTGTCTTCTGCTCCTTTCCCTCGCTGGTGTGAACTCTGGCCTGTCTGACTTCGCCTCTGCTTCCCGTTTTGGCACCACCCTGACCTCCCGGCTGGATCCTGGTTCTGTTTCTCCTTCCTTGGAAACCAGCTTCTGGACTGTGTCCTGGCACAGTGTCTATACACCCTTTGACACCCGTGCTACTTTCCGTTACTCCCTGTCTCCACTCTCAGGGGTGCTTACTGATATTTTGTAAGTGGATTGCAAAGAGGGGAAAGTGGGGATTTGATTTGATATAATTAAGTCATATACCCTCCGGTATACCCTCCTGTTTGGTCCAGCACATAAATTTGGTCAGTTCTTTGTATCCAGAAGGGAATGTTGCATTGTGAGTTACAGAGTCCAGGGAAGAGTATGGTAACTTTAGTTACCTAGAATATTTTACATCATCCCACAGTTTCAGGGAATGTTTCAAGATATGGCTATTGAAGTGTTTCAGTAGTGTAAGAAGAATGCAAAGATAAGTATCGAGTATACTATTAGAATGGGGTATATTTTGTAAGCTTCTAAGATTACCCACACTGGTGTGTTGGGGAAAATATGATATGAAGTTGATTGTTCTACCTTTGCCGCATAGTAATTGGAAATGTGAGGTACTGATAGGCCACCACAATGTCTTGATAGAAATAAGACATTCGAGGTGTCGTAGTGGCCCAAATTAATTGTAAAAAGTAATTCTGGAGTATATTGGTGGGAATGGAAACGGGTAAGACTCGAAAGGGGTAGAGAAGTTTTGGGAGTAGGGACGCTTTTACTGCCGTAATTCTACCCAGCCACAATATCTGATATTATTTCCATGCTTTGAGTAATGATCTAGTTTATCACAACAGAGCTGGAATGTTGACTGCATATAATGATTCATAGTTTGCAGTGATGTAGGTTCCAAGGTATTCCCATTGTAACGGAAAAGATACTTTGAGTAATTGAGCTTTCATATACAGCATGCATTTAATCTGTGCATTTAGTGGTGTGGCTGGAGTTGTGACTGACAAAAACTTTCAACTCTTTTCAGCACTTTTCTTTACAATAGAACTATAACTAGAATTCACCACCAAATGTCAACCTTTGTAGCCCTTCGCTCGCATACAGTCAGCCCCCAGGGCCAGTGGATTGTCTCCTCCTTTACCCTCCCCACTTTCTTACATATTTCATACATACCTTTTCTACCCAGCCCTTCCCCACGAATTTCCTCCAACACAATAAGTGCAGACCTTGAATACTAGATAGCTGTATAACCTCCGACTACAGCAGCACAGCAGCAGCTAAATACTGGACAAAGCCACTGGATAATTCACTCCATGATTAGTTATTCTCTCAACAGCACGAGGGCACATCACTCTCTTACCAACACGTCAAAACCACTTATGCAAGTTCAAATGGATCCCAAGGGGAGTCCCTACAATTTTTGCCACCTGAGGCCGGAGGGAGGGAGCGGGGGGG